CAAAAGCTTTGGATTTGCTGATTTTTTTATATCAGACTTAAAAAATTGGAACTAAGAATATTTCAATCTGGATGAAACATAACCTTTGAAAAAAATTGTGCACAGAGGTGCAGATAAAGCAGAGCACGGCTAGGTGGTATCCCATCTCTGGACCAGAACCTTCATTTTAATGAAATAATTTAGTTACTCGTATACCATATATTTTTTAATTCTATTTATCAAACGCTCCTCGTAATTATATTGTTCATGGACCTCTATTGTTAAAAAAATAAAGCTCTTAAAAAACCAATAGAATATCTACATCTATACAACTCAACACCATTAGTAACAATGGTGATTATCTCTGTAAGGAGGAGTCACTATCATCAAGATTTGTTAAAATTTTATTAGGCAAACTATTCAACCGATACTGGTGATGTAAAAAGCCGATGAACTTTAACATCCATTATCTCAAAACTTGCAAGTAACGATCACAGAAAACAGGTGGGGTCTTAAACTGAATTTGAATACAGATCATTTAGTTTTTTTTATTATCATCTTGCGTGTTAAAAACTATTCTTATGATTTTTTTTTTATATATCATACATATAAATATTATATACAGGGTGGCCAGAGCTATAATCAGGATTTTTTTAATAAAAGGGGACATCTTGCTATCATATCCTCAACTGTTTTACGTTATTTCTCTCTCCTTCGTCACTCTAACCTAAACAATTATAGAAAAGTACCAAGTATGATACATATCATTGAAAAGGTAGATAATTTTATGAAGAAATCAGCAATATGGTATTGTATAATTTCCCATGTCTATAAAATCGAAAATCATAGACTACTTGGCCTTTATTTAAGTACAACTGCAATAATCAAGTACTGATAAAGTAACATTTATTGATAAATAGAACTTATACAATAAATATTTATAATCAAATTAAACATTACATCAATCTAATTTAAATAGTGTATGTGAGTAAAGTCTATTTAAGTTTTAAATAGACTTTTATCGAATGTAACAGATCTATGTAGGTATGTATGAATATAATTAATAATAACATATTGATAAAAAAAAAACACTAATGGAAAAATGAAAAATTTACGTAATTTGGAAGACTGACCTTGCTTTAATTTAAATGAGGTATCTCAAGGTCGCTTAATCGAAATTTATGACTTTATTCAACACCTGCTGCCATATTATTCACAATGTTTATAGCCATAGGACATTTAATTCTTTCGTAAAATAATTTATTGTCCCATTCAATCCCACGAGATTCCTATTAAAAAAACTTTGCTTTACTTTAAAAACACTAAACTAACTATTATATGGAGAGTGTATTATCATCATCAAGTGTATTCGAATAAAAAAAAATGGTTTTATAGATATGTAGGTATATTTCTGCGTAATATTAATAACAATGACCTCAGTTAAAGTGGATTTAATAGTATTAAATTATTGTTATTATTGCTACTGTTTTATATCGAACATATTTTTATATTTACTACAAAATAAGCGATAAAGATACCGGAAAAAAATTGGATGACAAACAATTATATAAAATATACCTACCTAACGAAAATTAATACATTTAATAAAATATTGACTTGTCTAAAACGAGTTAAAAAGTTTGGAAAAATGTATGATCAATTCATAAACTGCTTCATTTAAATGATATAAAAACATTTTCATTCCGTCAATCTTCAAATACAAAATTATCGACTTCAAATAAATCAAAAAACGACTCTAGTCGCCATTTTTCTTACACTTTTCCGTCACGTTCGGTGCGTCCATAAATAGTTTTTATGTCGTTTCTAGGGTCCAATTACAATTAAAAGAGCACAGCTACGTCATCATTTAGCCAAGTAATTAATAGGTTATTGCCGCCTACTGGAGGTTTAATATTATAGGAATATAGGCAGTGTTACTAGAATATATTTTTGTAAAATGTACAGGACTTTGGAATGAATTATGATGTGGTTTGTTTCATTAAGAAAAAAAAAAAGGGTTTTTAAAGAGCGAAAACTGAACAAGGAACAGGACCCCAACAATATATTTTACTCGCTTCAAATGGTAACACGCTGAAAGAGGTACTAGACTTTGCTTCGAGTATACCAGATTCTAAGACAAGTATTAGAAATTAAAAATTTAAAAAACCGACTTCAAAAACGTGCAGATGCCATCACCACATCTTAACCAAATTTATATGGGACGACCCCTGAGGTACCCCCTTACTAACAAAAAAAAGAATCATTGAAATCGGACACCGTGTTAAAAAATTATCGCTGAACATAAAAAAAAAATATTGCGACGAATTGAGAACCTCCTTTTTTGAATTTGGTTAAAAATGTACTAGTTCTAGTACAATTGTACTAGACTAACAGCACTGGTTAGGGCCAGTTAGGTCCCGATTACAATTAGAAGAACATAGCTGTGTTATCATTTGGCAAAGTAATTAATTGGTTATCGCCGTCTACTGGGGGTTTAGTATTACTTAGTATTACAAGAATGTAGGAAATGATGTTTTATACCTAACAACTTATTTTTTATTTATTGATAGTTATAGATAATAATGTATTCGAAATTTGAAGTAATGGTTATGACGTAGCGGTGTTCTTCTAATTGTAATCGGACCCTATACATAAAACGGAATATCGCTACTACTTACATGCAGTATTTTTTTCTATAATTTTTACCAGAATATTTATAAAATTGTGCTGGTAAAAAATTACTAACATATTCCTTTCCTGCATTGTTAGTTGCATAGGTAACTTTATTCATTTCATTGTCATATTTAGAAAAATAGGAAATCATAATATAATTTATTCTCAACCTACAATGATCATAGGTATTTTGAAATAAATAAAAATCTGATGTGTCCAACACATGACTTTCCTATCTAGTTATTATAGGCTTTTTCCGGTTATTTTGTACAACCTATTGCAGCACCTCTATAAATGTTTAGAGGATAAACTAAATATATACATTTTCCACATATATCTAACTCTAAACATTTTTCTAATATATATTCCATAAAATACAAAAACGGCCTCCCATAAAGTACCCCCCCCCCAGATGTTCCGATTTCGTTCAAAATCTAATCATTTCACCTTTTAACAATTTCCAAAACTCAACAATCGACATTTTGATATCTTTTTTTTAGAGACTCTAATTTCTTCCAGAATATTGTATAAGTTGCTTCTATATAACATACTTTCAAAATCTATATATACAGCATGCACTCTTATCTTATATTTTACTTTTTCTTGGAGCTTTATTAATACGTGTATATGATCTATGAATTCAATGAGAGGTTGAGTACTGGATATTTAAATATAGATAGATATAAGTAGATATAACATCTATTTTTTCACGCAAAGGAATCATGCACTTACAGCCATATAAGTCATATACTGGACATAATTATTCTGAACTGAAAGCCAATGTATATATTTTAACATAGTTGCAATACTCGTCCTTCTGTCCTATATTAATATTAACCACATTGCTATGTGTTGCAGTTTTTGCAATTTCACAATTTCAATTTAATTCAATAGATATAAAATTATAGCACAGTATGGAAAATGCGGTAATAAAGTGTATTCTGGTATTTATAAAAACTTGATGCTGGAACAGTGTAACAATAGAGAAGAAAATGACAATAACATTAACATGGAAATTGATGACGTCGAACAAGCACCAAGAGAAACAGAATGCAAAGAAATATTACTTTTGCTTTATTTAATCACTTTCGGAATATCTGAAAGACTGATAAAAAAAAATTATAGAACAAAGAATATATGACTGATGGAAAGAACATGAACCCAACTCATTAAAGAATGAAATGTAGACTTCAAAAATATGAAGGACCAAAAGACAAACAAGCAAGAAGCAGAAAAAATAAAAGACCAATTCGTGGTACATAGAAGGACTGATATGGATTAACAAAAGATCAACTTAGTATATGAGCAACCAAAGATCGTTAAAACAAAACACTCTTATTAATACAAAAATTAGTTTACTAAAAAAAACACTTATTTGCTATATTCACATTTTCTCTTGTATTTTCCCCTTATTCAAATTGTCACTTATCAAACATATTAAACCGAACTTGGGATATCGTTAGCAACTTTTCCGCCTGCAAGAAGTTCATCCTCATTCAAATAAGATTTCATTTTAATTCTGCTCCAAGAAGTCTTTCTTATAATAATTAAATATGATCTCCGAAGAAACAGAAAGAAACTTCGTGAAGCTTTCCAGAAGTTTGCTGCTGCATTTTGATGTTAATGAAAAAAGTTAGTTAAAGACTGCGAGGTTATGGTATGTGCATGAAAAAGTGGTTTTCTTTGAAACTGACGTTTAAGTAAGAAGTTTTCCAACTTAAAATAAATGAAACGTTAATGCGAAAAGTAATCTGGAAAAATCTTGGAAAATTACTCGGTAATTTCTTGTACAGTAGCTATTTATTTTTGGAAGCATTGCTGATTTTTTAATTCCTATTATAGAAACTCCAAATTCATCTTTTTTTTTATAAAATGTAATAACTAGAGGGTTAATTTCTATCTAGTAGCACTAGATACTACTGGATAGCCAATCAAATATTTTTGAAACAACCTGTATATAAAATGTAACTGTAGGATAAATGTAAAATGTCTGGAATATGAGACAAGATAGAATGTTTTTATGTATGTGTATTTGCATGCAATCACTTGAAATTCATATGCATGTTGCACCTTTCATCAAATTCACCATCTCTGTACCTATTTTTTCTCAAGTATCATTTTTTATTTCATTTACTTATTACGTAAAGGGTGGCCAGACAAAAACTACACTGGCAAAATGTTATTTCATATATCGTATGAATCATTTACTTTTAATTCTATATTTGTCAGCTTGTTCCTTTTCTATTCGAAATCGTACATCGTTATTTCTTATACTGTATACCTACATTTTTTAAACCAAATTTTTTTTGTATTTTTTATTTGCCAATGTACAATTTTCTTTTTTTTAGGAATTGAAGGAAAGCTTCAACTATGGGCTTTTTTGTCCACCGGAAAATGGCAGGGCAGGAAAGTTTCTGGACGAGGAAAGAAGACTGGGGGATTATCCGTTCAATGGTCCTGTGGGATACTTAGAGGTAAATAATTTTTTAGTCAATATTCTCATCTTTCTTTTAACACCACTGGTCAAAGACAGATTTACGGGAATTAATTTCAATAAAAAATCCCATGACAACCAAATAACATTTCACATTTGGGTTGCACAAACTGTACAGTATGTAGTAACAGTGAAATTTTACACAAGAAAATTATGGATAAATGACAATATATTTTTTTTAAATATACAGGGTATTCTAAAAAAATAGAGAAAGTTCGTTCTGATTTGATTTTTTTGTTGTAAGTTGAAGTACAAGAGGCGTGTCTACAAGATGATGTCTCTCGACGAAAAGCAGTTGAAAAGTCTACATACCAGGGCAAATCTCAGGCGATTTTTGGATTATGTTCAAAATGGCCAAGTTGAAAAAATTACGAAAATATGCGCTAAGGGCCTAGATCCGAATTTTCACTGCCAAGAAACGGGAGGTGAGTAAAAATCATGTTATTCTTATACTTTTCGGTTTTTTTACCAACTTCTCGGTAGAAGTCGTTAAATTTACCTAAATTTCATTTTCAGAAACCCCGTTGACAATAGCGACCGGCATAAAGAAACCCGCGAAAACATTGATGGCCTTAGTAAATGGCGGATCTTTGCTAGATTTTCGAAAAAAAGACGGATCCACGGCCCTACACCGCGCAGTGGAACACCGCAGCCTGGAAGCCTTAAAAACTCTTTTGGAATTAGGAGCATCTCCGAATTACAAGGACAATAAGGGATTAACACCACTTTACTACACCATCTCGGTTAACGTCGATGCTACTTTCTCAGAGACTTTGCTCCACGATCACGCTACCACCGGCGCTCAAGATGCTCAAGGTTGGCAGGAGGTTCATCAGGTAAATGTTTAAAGTATATTTTTTACAAGTTAAAATCAATAATCTGCTTTAAAATAGTTAGTTTTAGATAAGCCCATGGTTTGAACTGTATTTTTCAATATTTGATTATTAATTTCTATATTTTTCTACTATATTCTATATATTTGTTTTTTTTTGTATTTTATATTATTCTGCATTTTCTGTATATTTCTGTATTTTATATTATTTCCAATTTTTTTATATTTTTCTATTATTTTCTATCATTTTCTTTATTTTTGTACATTTTCCTATTATTTTTTTCTGTATTTTGTTATTGATTCTAGGCATGCAGAGCAGGTCTCATAACCCACCTGGAACACCTGCTCTTCTACGGAGCGGACATGAACTCGAGAAACGCGTCCGGCAATACGCCCCTTCACGTTTGCGCGGTAAACGGTCAAGAGTCTTGTGCAAGACAGCTCTTATTTAGAGGAGCGGATAGACAGGCTCTAAATTTCGCCAATCAGACGCCATGTCAAGTGGCTGTCATAGCTCACAACATGGATTTGGCGGAAATTATCCAGAATTATAGACAAGAAGATGTTGGTGAGTTGTAATAGTTGATGGTTGATTGTTTCGGATGGGAATTATTGTTTTTGGCAAAATATTTTTTTTACTAATTTTCAACATTATTGTCAGCGTTTTATTTTAAATCATTTTTTGCAGCAATAGTCGAGAATAGTGTTACTGGCGCCATCTAGGCTACAGTAGCACAAACTACTTTCTATTTTATAGATTCTTCATACTTTAAGTATAATTTATAACCACCGTAACTTAACTTAACGCCGTAGAAACTTAACCTGATATAAAAATAAAGTCTATTTATAAATGTCCGTAACGTAAGAGTTGAGCATGCGTGTTGTATTTCAGAGATTGTCATATTACTGACAACCTTATGAAATAAACAAGTAAACTATGTACCTAACCTCTAAATAAAACTTATAACTTATAAATTATGGTTTTCGCTATTTAGAAAGAATATAATTAACTACTTTAAAAGCAATAATATAAAAATATATTAAAATAGAATAGCTTACCGAAGATGTTGATTGTTTTTGAGCAATAATGAGAATTTAATCTTTCCTAGCAAACTAGTTTTGTATCTTATTTCAATTCTAGACTTGATGTTTATAGGTATATGCAGCAACACTCATATCTTTTAAATAGTTTATCCCCAATAACATAAACACAAATCATTCATGATAATGTATGTCCATAAAAAATGAGAATGATAGTTTAGAAATGGTATTTGTCCATTCATTTATAAAAAAAAAAGAGAATAATTGACAGTTATCACATGCCGAACTCAGAATTATCTCATTAAGTTGTTAAGTTAAAAGTTGGCGAACTTTCTACGGTACGTTAAGTTCTTAAGTTACGTTACGGCGGTTATAAATTAAGCTTTACTCTTCATTTTATTAATAGTTCTTTACACTAGTCCCAATAATTCAAAATATATTCTCAAGAATAAATTATGTAGATGTCGGTTAATGTCTCTACAGAAATAATAAACTTTACAAAAATATTTTTCTATATATTTTTACCAAAAACATTATATTTCATTTGGAATAAAAAAGTACATCTAGAATTTGTTTTTTGTTTGTTGAATTTCTTGCTTGAAGTTTGTAGATTGTATTTGAATGCATGTTACGTTATTTATTTTTTTTTTTTTTTAAATAAAACTCTTTAATTTTTGAAGTTTAGATATCTTGATTTTTAAAGATGGTTTAGAAATATTTACAACAGAAGTTGATCAAATAATCTTAACATTAATTTAAACGAAAATGATTCGATAAAAAATAAAAAGAGACATATTGTTGCAAAAAAAAGCATTGAAAAGAATTGCAAGATTTTTTGAAGTACGTATAATTAAATATTATAATTTAGAATAGTCTACAATTAAAGTAAAGATAGTAGAAACTTATAACACAAATAGAAGAGTTTTATTTTAAATTTACTATAATCGTTCAAAAAATTATATAATAAAACAACATTTTAAATATACTATTTATTAATAGCATGCATGCACTTTTTCCCTTATATTTTCTAGTTTTTTTTTTGTGCTATAATCATAATTTACATTTTGCATGTTCGCTAAAAATATATATTTATAATTATTTCTGCGAGGATTGTTTTGTTTGTTTTAATAGGAACTTCAGAATCTTCATTTTTATTGTTCGTTTTAGACGAGGTGGATCTGAAATGTATTCAGAAATACATGAAATTAATATCTTTCTAATTAATCAATACAAATCAATCGTACCCAAGTTTATTTACTTTTTAGTCATTAATATACTTTTAACAAACCTCAATTTTCTTATATTTTTGGTATAGAATAGTATGGAAATCATTTCCAGCATCTGTTTAACTCATTTCACACGTAACTGATTTTTTCATCTATTATCGCAAAGTATGGATAATTATACAATAGCTATTCATTTAAAAAAACCGCGTCCACAAATCCGTTGGATGTTGAAATGAGCCTAAGTGTTACTTTCAGTCCCTTTTCGCGGTCCGCCTAGTTATAACCCGAAGCGTAGGTCGGCCGTAGGATGGCTCAACAGGGTTCCGTCCATGAGTACCCTTGCCTTACCTCCAAGTCCTTGTCCAAGTGACAGATCCTCAGCACCTTTCAGTTCGGCAAGTTCGAGTCTGTCTGAAGGGAGCGCCCTGCCTGGCCATGAGACTGATACTGCAAGCATTGTGACAGGTAACGTATGGTTTCTGTTAAGTTTAGTTAGTTGGATTTTGCAAATTTGAATCTCTTGAATAATATGGTATTAAAAATTAATTTATATATTTTTTCGGCCAATTTTTTTTAAAGTTTTACTGGACTATTAAAGAAGATATCAAGCAATTCATAGTCCAAGAAATTTAATATGAATTCCGATACAGCTTCCCAATTTTGTTGGTTTATAATTTTATATCAAATTCTACCAGGCTATGAAAGAAATATCTAACAATAAGGTCTCGTTCAGACACAGCGGAATCCGCGCAAAAAATTGTTCATCTTTGACTTTTTTGATTAAATTATTTAATAAAATCATACACAGTAGTCTTATTTAGAATAACAATTCAAAAATTATCACCAATAATAATTATTTTTAACCAAAATTTGTATATTTACCAATAGAATTTCGAAAATATAAATTAAAGCCACCATAAATTAAATTTATATTTAAGAAGTGTTGGGAGATTCGAATTTAAAAACCCAATTACGTATTTCTGAAGATGCAATAGATACAATATTTTGTATGTGTTTCTAAGAAATCTGAAATGTATCGGTTTAATTTAAAAATATTTTTGACTCATTTTACTGAAATTAGTAAAGATTAATGACAAAAATAGACGTTTATAAAGCAACATTTCATTGAAAATGCGTTATTTGGAAAGACGGTAGAAAATAGTAGCTTTTTATATAATTTTGTATTTTTTGTTTCGTTTCTTAGAAATTATTAATTTAAAAAACATCTATTGTATCTTCTAATAAGTGATTGATAGCATGTGCACAAGTGAATGTCTCCATGAATGTTAATTCTCTAAATAATTAACATGAGCGATGCTCTTCGAACAGGAATGGCTCAAATTAGAACCTCTTTTTTTATATGTGCCCCTTCTCTATATGTTAGAATAACAAAATTATCATCATCATAGACATTATCATTTAATGGTTCATCAAACATTACATATTATAAGAATTATGGTATCCAAATGCTGTTGATCATTTTTTATGAATCAGATAACATTTTTTGTACACATATGAGGATATATCGGAACATTTCTGGAACGAGATGCAAAAATATTACTTTTTAGGGAAATTTTTTAGTCTTACTGCTTCTCAAAACCTTTCAACCCTTGAAAAAAATAGGTACTATTAAAACCTTCGAAATAAATATTTACACCTTCGATGATTTCAATATTCGCTATGGAAAAATCAAATTTTTACGTAAAAATTAAACCCCAAAAGCTATTTAAGAATTAAATAATAAACCTAAAATATATTGAGAGAAATTAAACAAAAATTAATTATCTATTTAAATGAATTTGAATAGCAATTCTTAAACTGCCAACAACTATATACTTTTTACAGCAGTTTCCTATCCAGGAAATGCTAAATTGGTACAGATTTGAGAACTATAGGGTGTTGTATGACGTACTGTACAAATTTAAATAGCATATTCCTGAGTTCGATTCAAGCAAAAAATGTCCTATAAACAAATATCCAATTCTCCATGGTTACCGAACTACAAGCGTTTAGAAACGTACATTATGTCGGCATATTCTTTATTCGAAAACAGCTGAGAAATAAAGAAAAAAAGAAATGAATGCATCGATCAGGAATCTTCGGATTATACGCGTCCGCGTCTGGGATTAGAATGTGTGTGCACCAACGAGAGTAGAAATCTGATTAACATTAAATCTACGAGTTTGACTGTCAAAGCCATGTGAATTGATAGTCCAATTTCTTAGAGACGCGGACGCATATAGACCGAAGGTTCCAGGTTCGATCCCTGGTCGATATATTCATTTACTTCTCAGCTTTTTCAATGTTTCCTAAGTTTGTTTTCACCTTAAATGTATTTTTCATAAATTGGGGATTATATATTTTCATATTTACAAAATAATTGTGGCGGATTATGGCATATAAATTTGAATGCCACAGTCGCCATTGATAATTGAAATCTATTCTATTGATGGTTTTTATATATAAGAGTTGGTTCTAAGGCTTCGGCCCGTTATATTCTATGTTTGATTTGTGCTAAAAATGTCAACCTGGAAGAAGAATATCTTTATGATAGCTACGCCAGTGGCGTAGGGATTCGCTTGAAGGTTAATTCCATAGAAAGGGTGACGTAATTACCATCAGAAGGTCTGAACGATCGAGAAAATACCAGAGACGCCGCTCGTAGCAAAAAATGGTTAAACATGCAAATGGCTTGGGTACCAATGTCTTTCAACAAATTGCATTTTCAGTTTTCGGATATCAACAGATTTTCTCATTTCACTTTCCTTTGTGATTGTTATTGAAGTACTTATTTGAACCTTAAATAATTTCACAAATTAATTTAATATAATTTTTAAATTTAGATTCGTTACGGTATTTTTTATTTGTTGATTTTTTTTCGTTTCGGCATAGGCTGGGGAGAGGGCTTTGACCCTCCCCTCATCTTACAATTAGATATATCCTCATATATATGTAACTTTTTTATTTAAAAATCAAAACCTCATTTAAAACGTTTTGAAATATGTGTTAAAATAAAGAAATTGTGGAAAAAAACGTAATAATAATTAAAATTGTAAAGTAAATTAAAAAAATTTCAAAACATCAGTCACACAAATTAAACAGAGCTCCCCGAATAAAATGGATACATTTTTCACGTCACACATCCTCTCTCACCTAGTTCCTTTACCAATGATGTGATTTACCAGTGTTCGCACTGGGTGTTTCAGATAAAAGCATCGGAGATACGAGCGACATCATCAGCGACAGTTCGGGAGTGGGTACAGCCAACTCTGATACCACCAATTGCACCATTTGGATGCCGGGCAGTACCGTCGTTTGCATCGAGTCGTATTCCTCGAAAGAAGAAGGCCATATAGCCATCAGGGAAGGAGACATACTAGAAGGTAAGCGATATTTATTTATGTATACAGTGCGATTCAAAAAGATTGAAAATATTTTTTTATTTTTCTGAAAAAAGTTGTCTTCATAAAAATTAAAGTAATGTTGACTTAAAATATTTTACATTTTTATTACCGTCTACGAGATAAGTAAAAAAATATTAATTTGGCTCCAGGGAAAAAGTACCCAAGAATTATTTGGAAAATAGAAAACTGAAGGTAAACGTAAGTAATTGTGTTTCAGATACAATAATATCGGTATGCCACAAAGTAGTGTTCTGGTTCCGCTACTATTGTTAATTTATATTAATGACATTGCTAGTGTAGTAGAAAGATGATTAATACACATATTTGCAGATTTTACCTATGAAAACACTGGAACTTTTTTAAAATAAATTAATAGTTCTATAAGTAAAATAAATGATTATTGTAACTATTTAAATTGTACTGGTTAGAGTGATGGGAATGTCGTATGACAGTTAAAGATATAATAAAAAAATGTCCACCTTTATTCAAAAATGGATGTGTCAGAGTTTGTATAAAATATTGTATAAATTATTCATTTTTTTTTTTCATCATGGATAAGTCTGAGAATAATTCGTAGAGCAGAGATAAATTTTAAACTTTTATTTTCATTGTGAATAGAGTTGAAAATAATTTGAAGAATAGACAAAAATTTTAAATTTTTTCTATTGTGGAAAGTGTTTGTACTTAATATTTTCATGTGTCTATCCATTCGAAATTGAATCATCCTGTATGTGAATATGTAGCTTAAAAACACAAAACATTCTGAATTTATTATTATTCTAATCGAAACACTTAAATAATTAGTAGAAAATATCTAATTAAAAAGGAGAGAGTGAAATTATTTTATGGAAGAACCGTTTCGTTAGTTGAATCATTGATTGATTAATATTGTTATTTATAAAAACGTTGATTAACAAGCAGCATAATAAAAATGTTTTAATAATCAGTATTTCAGTTAGATATTCGATTAATAATAATTATTGATTATGATTACCTATTTTTTTACATAAATGTTTAGATTATTAATTGAAAAACTCCATTTTAAATTTATACATCCTTCAACAATACATGTATCACTTAAAACAATAAAAAAAAATGGTTGTTATTAAGTGTCAAATATTTTAGTGATACTGTTTTAGGGTTATTACTGAATTTCTTAATAACACTTTTAATCAGTTAATGACATCAATATAATCACGTAGAATACATATATAGAGTTAAAACCAATAAACTGTCTTTTTTCCACTGTACCAATCTTAAATACATCATCTTCGACTATAATAATGGCGACTCTCGCTTCTATATTATAGAAAATAATCCAAATATCTGTAACTTATTCTTCTATTTCTTGTCTTCAAAAGTAATGGATTGATGTCACGATATAAAAAATAAATAGAAATCTAAAAAGGATAGAAACAGAAAAAATGTGTGCCAAGAAAAACTAAAGAGATTTACATCAGGAAAGGCACATTAGCATTCAATCCGGATTGGATTTAAAAAATCCAATTCATTACTAGAGTAACGCATCAATGATCTATGTGAAACGTCAATATGAAGTTTATCAAAAAGGTGACGAAAAATGAAGAAAAATCGTATTGGTTGTTCAAATATACATTTTAAATACAGAATCGAATTCATCTTATGGAAACAAAGCAAACGTTCTTTATAAAAGTTCTGTTTATATTGTTAAATAATCTTTCCAAACACCAAGCGCGATGTTGATTTTTTTTATAACATTTTCACCTCTTTTAGTTATTGCCCTTGATAACATTTATGGATTTATGTTGCTTCTTATATTTTTTTGACATGAAACAATACGTTGTCCTTTACAGTTATCGCTGCGACAGATGACGGGTACTTGGAAGGTAAATTGAAAAGCGGAGGAGGTCGTACGGGGTACTTTCCAGCTTCTTGCGTTCAAGAAGTTCGATTACGTCATCATAACATCCAAGCTCCCATGATGGTGGCTAAAGACCCAAGACCTCCGAGCCAGGGAGGCAACAGAGTTCTCGGTAGAAGGGAGAGCACTTCTAAGCATTTCGCTACGGCGCCTAGAACTACCAAGAGATCGTAAGTGTTTTTCACTTTTTTTCCATATATTTATACATTTTTTATATGATTTGGATTAGAAAGACCATTAATGAAACGCAAATCGATAATTGGACCTAGAGAAGATCCCTGTAGGTCCCTCTCTTCTATAATATTTTATTAATATTGATTTCATTCATTCATTTTTACATAAAACCGTTTAAACATTTTTGTGAATAGAATAAAAATATTCTGTTCATCCCATCGAAATATTTATATTTTTTTATTTAACCATCATTTACACATAATTTATTTCATTGCTAACTATAAAATTTCTTAACTACAAATATTTGTAACTTTTCAGGTTTTCAAACCTACCCGCAGAACCACGAACCGTGGTTCTACACAAGGGTAAAAAAGGTTTCGGATTCATACTGCGAGGCGCCAAAGCAACATCGCCGCTCATGGAACTGACGCCCTCAGAAAAATGCCCCGCTTTACAATATCTGGACGACGTCGATCCAGGTGGTGTAGCAGATATGGCTGGGTTGAAGAAAGGAGACTTCCTTTTAGAAATCAATGATGAGGATGTTTCTTCTGCTTCACACGAGCACGTGGTTGATCTTATAAGAAAATCTGGTGATCTGGTATGCAAAAATCAGATGTTTTAAATCAGTTTTTCGAATGAGAACAATTTTTATTTTAGGTGAAAATGAGTGTGATGTCTCTGGGCCCCCCCGTTTGTGGGGCGATACCCATGAGCAAATCGACAATTCTACCAGGAGGAGCAGGCACCATACCGTTGAGCAGGCAGTTTGCCACTTTGCCCAGAAAGACCATGACATATGGTGGGACGCTGGGCAGGTCAACGCAGGCTCCATTACCGCCCAGAAGGGACCCCAAGACGACTCTGAGCGTTGGAAGGGCGAGAGCGAAGAGTATGGTTGCAGGTTTAGGTAAGTTGATTCCTCTTTTTAACTTCAAAAAAAGGAACTTTTCAGATTCATATATATTTTTTAATTTATATTCAGCAATAATTCTTTGACACGTTTTCTGATTTTTTGTTAGAAAGGGCACCTCAGAAAATTATGGAATCCATGAGAAAATCATGAAACTCTTCATTTTTGGAGTGGGTTTTTTAAAATTTCTTTTATAACTTGTATCAAAAATAGTTCAGTACATGTTGATTTTGAACATGGACATGGTAACTACATCTGTTAATGTTTGTTAGAAAACTAATCACATAGCCGTTTAAATAGTAAAATTCCTGTGTTAGAAATTAAAATGCCTGTATATGGCTAGTGATGTGAGGCGAGAATATTCTCGAGAACGAGAATATTTTCGGGTAGAAAATTCTCAACGGTAATTTTCTCATAATGCTTTAATATCGAATATCGATTTTTGCCAAGCAAAACGGACCGCGGGGAATCCCAGGCATATATTTGTAATTATTCGTATCATAACGTGCAAACAAAAAACGGTATAAGAATTATTTTCTTTTATTGAACACATATTTCGGTAAAATGAATAGGATAAGGGGTAATAGAATAACCAAACCAAAAAGTAATGTGTGGAATTACTATAATATAAAAAAATTTGAGGGATAAACGGTTTATGTTTGCAAATTTTATGCAAGTGAATATGTTAAAAATGCAACAAGAATGACAAAACACTTGTTGAAGTGTCTGAAATGCCCCAGTGATATTAAAAAACGCCTAAAAATAGGGGAAAATCGAAATGTATCCATTGCCTCTCCGATGAGTACTGCAGATTCATCCTTCAAAGGTAAGTAAATATTTAGTAGAGAGTATGATGTATGGTAAACTATATATTTGTATCTCATCTTTTACTGGGCACTTAAAAAAAAATCCAGACTGAAAAAAAAGGAGACAACTGTGCCAATATCTTTGAAGTTACCCGTCAAAACTCGTTGGGGATCAATTATTTACTGCTTTAAAAGTCTGCTTGATACCAAATATGCCCTTAAAGCTTTAGCAGTTTGTGAGACTATATATAATATATTGAACAAGCGAGTAGGAAAATTAATTTTAGATGAAGATATATTCTGGGTACGAGTGTTGAAGTTGTTCAATTTGATTAACCCCATTATTGAATATATATACAAACTTGAGTTAGATAGGCCTAAGCTAAGTGAAATAATAGATTGTTTTTATACCCTAGAAAAACATTTTAAAATGGCGTTACTTTCAAGTCCCCTTACGAAGTAGGAAGAGCAAAATGTCCAGGAATTTTTAGCAAAAAGAAAGCATACTGCCATGCACCCTATACATTTGGCAGCTAATATCTTAGACCCACGTTTAAATTGTGTTCATTTGAGCAACGAAGAGCAAATTCAGGGTACAGAGTTTATTGATTAATTAGCTACCTCAAAATACCCAGATGACTCGGCAAATTTAATGGCGGAATTTGCGTACTATAGATCTAAAGAAGGATTTTTTGCAAAACCATACGTTTCAATACGTTCAATACACTAGAACCCGAGATTTGGTGGAAAGAAACCTGTTTTGGACCAAAACTAGGTAAATTAGCGGTTAAAATTTTAGGAATGCCTGCAACTAGCGCTGCTACAGAAAGGAGCTTTCATTCACTCCTCAAAAAGAAACCGACTGACTGCTGAGCGAGCCGGTAAAGTTACTTTTATAGCTCACAATTTGAAACTATTGGACCAGGACCAGGTATCAGCAATTTCCAAGCCCTCCAAGTATAAAGAACATGAAGAGAACTCGGCTACTTCGCACTACCAGTCACAGGGTGGTCTTGGAGAAACAGAGGCAGTGGAAATGATATTGGAATCTGACGGGAGTGATGGGTCCGAGTCGGACTCGTCAGAGGATGAAAATAGTGATGGTGAATTTTTCTGACTCAAATTGCTTAATTTTGTTTTGTTAGTCTGTTTAAGATTTTATTTTACATTTTTTGTGCTTTTAAGAATTGTATTTTATGTTTTTTATTTGTCATCGAAAGCGGACCATAAATGGTTTAATATTGTTATTGTTTATGCTTCATCATAAATAAATCTTATAAATATATCTTATAAAGTTTATTTAAACCCATGAGTTTCAAAACTGATTTTCGTCAGGAATCGTTTACAACTAAGAGCGCTCACTGGTGAACACTGTTGTATTTGACTTAAATCGTTACACGATAAAAACAATGTTAATCATAGTATTTTTGTTGTTGCTGGTGAGAGTTGTTAAAAGATGTATTCAATATGCCGCTCGGGTTTAGATGTCACTGTCATTAAATTTGAGTTTGTTTTGGTAGATCGTTCTGAGACAATTCTCATAATCGAAAATATTCTCCATTTTTTTTATTCTTAAGAATTTTCCATCACTATATATGGCTGTCACATGCTAGATATTTTAAGCAGTACGAGAAGCTGTTGTTTCGGAGAGATGACAAAAGATTCTGGTTTTAGCGCGGAGATTGAAGATGGCTGATAACGTCGGTTTATGTCACTATACTCGTTCTTTAGTTTTGACCAATCATCGGCGAGTCGGGACTTACGTGAGATTATCTACTCATAGTGAGAAAGGGTGACGTACTCACCTTCAGCACAATCTAGAAGGGCCAGAGCCGGCGTTAGGAACAAAAAAAAATTGTAAAACAAACAAATGGCTTTGGCAAAATTGTTGAAGTATTTCATCAAACATTGTTACAGAGATGCTCTGAATATATATTATTTTTTACCCACTACCGTACTCATTTTGGATTATATGTCTATCATTCGGTGAATTATTCCAGGAGGAGAAAAAGATGAGACTGATGATATGACAAAATCTAGCTCGGCTGAGTCAATACACCAATCGACGCCAGGCGGGATTTGTACGTCTGCGAAGACGCAGCCGAGGACGGCGTCGATAAGACAAAGACCTTCGTCCACCAGCTTGAAGCATTCCGTGTTGGAGGAGCTGTTTCAGAAGCAGAGGGAGAGCGATACGCAGAGTTCTTTGATGAGCAGTTCGAGGTTCCAGAGTTCGAATACGTCTGGTTCGCCCAGCAAGGGGCGAGTGTATGCCAGTGTGGCTGAAATGAAGAGGAGCAAAAGTAAAGTAAGTAAAATAAAAGATTCATTGTTTACCGAAACTTGATATTTATTTCACTAATTAATTTAACATCCTCGGTCGGTAGATTGGACTGTCCAACTAAAGAGCAGTCCATTAATTGCAACCTGTAGCTGATAGTCTAACACCAAATTAGGTAACAATTCTCGTATATTGTAAATCTGGTTTTTGTAAGCTGTTCCTTATGATCGAGTTGTTTATCCTGCATAAACTGTTGCTTCCCTTAATATCTCTGTATTTAGGTCGGCATTTGTTTCTAAGGAATTTAAACCTGAGCTCTCTAAATTGTCTACATGTAAGTTTGTGTCTGTGAAGTTTCTTCACTTTTTTGTCTGTAATAGGAGGCAGTGCATTTAAAGACATGTTTCATTTTTAATTTAAAAACGTTTTCTTTCACTAGATACACAGGGTGAACCCTAAGTTAATACTTTTTTACTTTGTATAGAATTAGTTAATAACTTTCTGAAAAATCTCAAAAATAAGAAAGATAAAGAATTAATAAATCTAAAACCGCACCTGAACTTGTGTACGAAAAATTAAATGAATTAATAAGTCTGTCTATGTTTGCGTTTAGAAGAACATTTTTTGGATAATGTTTTCAAATATTGCATGAGTAATTGCATATTAGGTGGAATAATGCAAAGAAAAGTGTGTACAACTGCGGAAAAATCAATTGTATCCCTTTCACGTTGAACTTGAACATCCCTGCAGAGTTAATTTTTGTGGATGATTCGTATGACTTGAATGTAATTAACATTTTTATACAGGACCGTATTGGATTCATTTTGGAATTGATTATATTAAGTTTCTTATTTTTGACTTCCATACACAAAAAAGGATTAACCCTGTATATTCTTTATATTAGGCAATTTAGTCAATAGTATGAAACAAATTAAATACTTATATTGGAACTTGCTGAACACAATTATTACACTACATTGGAATTTACAGCGTCAGAATGATCAAAATATGAATCTTTTAGTTTTGTGCAGCTAGTAGTAATAAAATTATTTACGGAAATATATGATAAGAGCATTAAAATATCGCAACGTTTTCATTGTTTTTTTTTTTTTAGTACCCCAAAGTGAAGTTCACAGAACTATTCGCCGATGGAAAAGAACTGAAACGAACCTTCCACAGTACTCCGGATCTAGTCCAAGAAGTGGCGTACAGTTCGCAAACTTTACCTAGCAAGTTCCATCATAGTCACAGTCAAGAGGATCTGTCCGTACTTTTAAGCGGGAGAAGTCTACCTCCGCCTACTCATCCCCCGCCACCGATACCGCCGCATATTCAGATGGTCAAAGTCGACGTCACTCGAAGTCAACGATCCGAGTACGACAATTTAAACAGGGAACTAGGGGATGAAGGTGAGTTAAAAGATTATTAATAGTCGATTACCACATGTACATCAATTTCTTCAGTTAAGAAACTTTGAAGAAGACTCGAAAACTGAAAAGAGGAGTGATGTAAGACTTTTCCAGAGGTTTCTTCGACATCCCTTCTGGTCTTTCGGTTCCTCTTCTTTGTCTTCGAGTCTCCAGAGGCTTCTTCAACGTCTCCTCTGTTCTATACGTCACTAATTCGTCTCCTTTTCTTTGTCTTCCAACATTCAGATGCTTCAACGTATCTTAATCGAAGAACACGAATAAGTTAACCAAAGTGGTTTAATATCATTGTATTTCATCAACTTATAATTTTCTTTGTAAACTATCGGCACTATCTTAATCTATTTTTTTTTTTTTTTCAGGTGTTATATCCTCGTTTAATCCAACAGCAAATGCGAAATTATATGCGTCTCCCGAAGACATGAGGACCGTGGGGTACAGATCGAAGAGCGCGCCTTCACATGCAGTCAAGAGCCAGTTGAGGAAATCGCAGAGTATGAGGACTAGTACCACGTTCAAACCGACGGCTACTAGTTTTTCCAAAGAACAACAGTCTAATCCATATGCTCAACCCATAAGGGCGTCAAGGTCCCACTCTACAGGTGAGTTGTTGAAGAATATATTCTCTAATTTGAAGTAATTGATGCAAACATTTTTCTTTTTTCAAAATATTGTTTATCGTTCAATGCAGTTAACTAATTTTAAGGTTTTTTTTTGTTTTTCTGTCAAATATGAGTAAGGTATTTTAGAAATATTTCCATTCAGTGACAGATCTTTCACCTAATTGTTCCAGTCATCTAACTATGGGTTATAACTGTGACTATTTTGGGAATAAATACTCTTACGGTTCTAGTATAGATATCTAATGTTAATCTCTCATCCTGAACAAGAACTTCTATCTTCAAATTACTCACAGTTTATACATCTATGTGGTACTTCCTAAGTTTACCATTAATCTTTGTGGAATTACAAAGAAACCCTAAACGTTGTGCATAAAATGAATAAAGTCAGTGATATTTACAAATCAAACAACGACATTTCTTTGAAGTTTTAATGTAAAAGTGGCGAATTTAGGACTTATGTGTAAAGTTTTGGTTGTTTCTGTATTTCTTTATACTTTCACCAAAGTGCTTTATTGGTCCTTTTAACTAACGTTTGGTTCTTCAGGATTAATTCCAGTCTTTTCTATGTTTTTATTTTTAATTCAAAAGATTTCTGAATATCTTCGAGCATCATCTCTTTTTAAGAAGTCATAATTGACTATATAATAGCATTTTTGAAAATAGTCAAATGTCTCTAAAGCATTTTTAATTTTCATAGGATCTAGGGAACGTAGAAAAAAGACATCGTCGAACAAATTAAATTCGAAACTGGCCCAACCCGGCGGGCCTCCGATTCCAGAGCCGGACTACAGTTGTACCGATTCGGAAGGCGAAACTGAGGATATCCAGAGGAAGACGGCCGATACGTTAGCGAGTAGAATTAACAGTATTCAGTTACAAGCGACTGAAAATAGTGGTAACAGCAATGCGAGGTAAGAAGTCAAACTAGCAGTGTACAAGAATTTACTTTGAAGAAATTAAGATTACGTTCTACATTTGGTAGGCAAATTTTCCAGCTGAACATTGATTTTATAGCGTTTCGAGAGTTTTTAAAAATAATCCAAAACATGTGAAAATTCGTGAAACAGATTATTTGTTAAAAAATTATATAACAATATATATTGGATAACTCATATAATTTTTTTTAATCAATATAATTTTCTTCACAACTGGACTGATCCAGACTCATCACTACTTGCTGTTGTACCTAAATTAATAATAATTGGTTCTAGATCAGAAACATCTAATTGCTTGTATTTTTCCCAATCGGAAACAATTATGTTTTTAGTGTGTCTTACATAATTGTCCCACTGAGTATCTGTAACATTATTCAAAGCTTCTGACCAAGTCTGAAATACTTTTTCCGGTGACGACTTCATTAAAATTTTTTCGTCAAAACGTTTGCACTGTGACCATAACATCTCTATCGCATTGTACTGGCAGTGATATGGAGGAGTTCTTAATATTTTAAGCCCATATCCCTCAACATAACTATCTAGATGGAATTCTTTTTCTTGGTAGATTTTGACGTACAACTTCCCAAATCTGATGTTTTATACCATTGATTGGATAATAAATGTTCTTTTTCTGGAACCATTTTACCATTTTATCTTTTGTTCAACTATAACATGGAATGGGTTCCACATACCGCAAAAGATAACTGGCATTATCTATTATAATAAAAGAAGGACGTTTCAGACTATGTATAAATTTCGTCTTAAACCATTTTTCAAAATGTTCTGTACTTATTATGGTAATTTCCACTTTTTGTTTGACTTTTAAATATGAGGTCTACATTTTTTATAAATCCTTCTTCATTGCCACTCACCATGGACAATTATGTATCAAATTTCATCTCCTGTTTTTTACTTGCAGTAGCCATCGTTCCATCTTGTCAACTTTTTCTGTTACTTTCCTTGCTAAATACCCACGTCTCATCCAAAAATACAGGCTTACAGTTACCCAGCTCTATCTCCTTGTTAAAATTTTTCAAAAACGACATTTTATTTAACTGAATCTATATAATTATTGTTATTGGGTTTAAGAAAGTTGTATGTGTATAACCAAAGAGTTCTAAAAGTGATTCAAAGCAACAATATAGAATCACAATAAAGCATTTTAATTTTTTTAGCTGAAATGGTGTATATAATAATTGCATAAATGTTTATGTAACAATTTAATAGTTATTGTGAAGACTATTTTATAATTTTGCTGTAAGAACATTGTAAAAATGAATGTACATGACAATTTACTTTCAGAGAATAAAAATAGTGATTTCTGCAATTTTAGTAAAACAAATTAGCATTCCGCAGAAACAGCAGTATACTATTAATAAAATGTAATAGTCTTGTAAACTAAAATTTATAAAGTTACTTTCCTAATTGAGATATTTAGCGGCCCATCTCAGATTCAAGGCGACCTTCCATATTTAACTGGTGTTCAGATTGTATGCTGTCTCTAAAACAAATAAAAATGTAGTTCTCCATATCGGTGAAAATAATTATCGTTATAATTACTTTCTAACCTTAAATAAAGGTAAATTTTACAATTTGGGTGTTATCAGCTGATCTGATTACGTTTTCCATGTCTTAGAAAAATCGAACACAAAAATGTTTTTATTAAAGAAGAACAGTATCTTTTTAAAATTCTATCTGGTTATATAAACTAGAAATGTGTCCGATTATGGAGTACTGCGGATCTGAAATGTGAAACGTAGGTCAACCAGACTATCTTACGGACATATTAAGATCAGAGACTACATATAACTGAACAACAAACGTTTGAAAATCGCCGTGTAATAATTTGTTTTCATATTTTAAAATATAATTTCTTAAAAACATAGTTCGAGAATAGTAAAAATCAAATAAGTGGCCATAAATGGAGGCTGAAAAAATAACCACTTGTCACTAAATCGAGATTTGATTTAATCGAATATTCTCTATTTCGAATTCTCTACCTGGGAATGTTGTTAATGTTCCATCTATTTTTTATTTAACTTCTTTGTACCTTGGTTGTTCACTTGTTATTCATTTAATATTAATTTTTTCCTTGTTTAAAGACAATGTTTTATATCTAAGTAATATGAGCTATGTGTCTTATGGCCCCTACTTTTATTATAGTAAATAATTTTAAAAAATCAACATCACAGCTGACGTGTTAAAAAATCGTAACCAATAAAAATATCTATTGATAGAGCGTTATCATTACTTTAGCATACCCATTACTCACGATTTCCTATTACAATCAAACAAAACTGCTGTTTCCATTTTAGCATAACAGTCAAGTGCTTTTCCTAGTTAATAACACAACTAATATAAAAAAAACAGAACCGATTTGATCAATCATTTTTTTAAAGTTTGAAATCTTCTTAAAATTCCTATAAAAAGATGCCCCGGTTTCTAAAATTCTGTTTCTCTTTCAGCGGAAGTTCATCGGGAAGTAGTTCCATCCCTCACAGTTTTAGCGTTGAAGAAATCCAGAAGGGTAGGTCGTTGCTGAAATCCTCTAAATCCTATCCGGATGAACTATTGAAGAAGCAGAAGGAGTCTGATGCTGTGGAGGATGGAGATAACAGTTCATCTGGAGTTAGTTCTGATCAGGAGATTACTTGTGGAAATGCTGAGATTCATGAGCAAAACAATAGCATAGTGCCTGTGACGAAAAATCATCGACCACAACAAATCGGTGAGTATGGGACATAATTTTATATTTATAGAACCTTTTTGAATATTTTTTTATGAGTTTATAGATAAATAAATATTACAATGATTCGTCAAAGATAAAACAAAAAAATTGAACATACAATATTAATACATACTAGAAGTTATTGCAAACAATATGTTGAATATGATGATAATGAACTGAGGATCAAGAAATTATTACTGGCGTACCATATGGTTTTAATGTCAACATTTCATCTTTTGCATACAAGACCATCAGGCACATTAATTAATTTCAATTTAAGTAGGAGACCCTTGTGCCAGACATTGTCTAAGGCTTTTTTGATGCCCAACAAGAGAATGGTAGATTTATTATTGTACAGTTTTGTCGTCTGCCAATCATAACCCAGCGGTGTAGTTGGTACCAGAGTAGAGATTTGTTCTCTAAACCCAAATTGAAATTGTGGATTTTTGTCGTTTACTCATAATGATACTTTGTCTTTAGTGAGCTTTTTAAATAGTTTTCCCAAAACTGGATGAATGGTTAAATATTATTTTATTGAAGTGAAGAAACTAAAAAAAAGCCCTTTAAATTCAACAAATTTCACTTTTATAAAATTGCTCTTGTATCAATTTTAATATTTATTTTTGGTTTTTTCATGTGTCATTAATCATATTTGTCTCCACCTTAGATCGTGATAGAAACACCTGGATATTTTCTCACTATCAGCCACAAAAATTCAAAACAGCAATCACGTTTTATTTATTACCACAAATTCATCGTAATTTCTATTTTTCATCATTTGAATAATAATTGATAGAGCTAAATATTTAGTCATACCATTAATGACAACTTTGAAAATAAAATTAATCTAATGATTTTTATTAATTTTTCTTATATGATGAGATGACACACATTGAGTTATGAATAATATTTATGAAATAAATATTTTAATTTATCAATTTTGAATAATGATTTTGAACGATTTATTGATTGATCATAACATTAAAAACCAATCGTAAGTTTCGTAAAATACCTTTGCACATCATCAGAACTTATTTCTTTGTTCGTGACTCTTAGCAACATTCTCGATGTCTTGCTTAACGATGTTTATCTCCAGGTCTCTGTGAGGGTCACTGTTTCTAAATTAACAAGGGTCTTTAGCTATGTTACTCCTAGATCTATCATTTACTTGCAATAACAAAAAATTATGTTATACATTGTGTGTCCAAAAAAAAATATACATGAGAAAAAGTTTTGTTTAAAATTAAAATAATTATTTTTGATAAAATGCTTTGCAAACATTAAATTTTATAAAATGAAGGTGGTATACGAGGAATATAGAAACAAGAATAAAATACTTTTAATTTTCAATGTAGAGCAAAATATGAATTGAAGTATTGATAGGAAGAATTACAATATGTACTTAAGTTTAAATTATTTTGGGGATGAATGGTCTGATAAACATTATATTCCTTGAATATAATAAAGAAATTATTGGTAAAGTGAATCTCTGAGATTAAGCATGTTTTCTATGCCTATAGGTTTGCTTGCAATTCTTATTGGTGCTGCAGTAGTCTGCATTTACTGTTTCTCGGTTCTTATTTATTTAAGACCTTCCCGACTACATCACATCTCAAGTGTTATATATGGTTGAACTAATGTAACTAATAATATCAGAAAAACAGTAAATCTGACAAGTAATATCCTTATCCCAAATTTTGTTCATAGTGCAAATATTAAACTTTATATAGTATTTAAAAAAAAAATCATAGTTATTTGTTGTTTTAGGAACGTTAAAACGACACGCAGTCTCCTTAGCCCATCTGCCGCCGCCCATCGAAAACGAAACGGACGAAAAAGAAGACTTCTGTCTACCGCCGCCTCCGGAATTCGGCGAAAACAACCCGAACTTCAGCGAAGTCGTCGTGGCTCCACCGCCGCAATTCATGGACAACCGACAAGTGACTAGAGTGAGAATAGTTGGAGCCGTACCAAAAGGTTCCAAAGGGTCTTTGGCCGTCAGCACGAAACCGAAACTCAAACAGAACCGGCTTCATAGTCAGTAAAAGGCTGACCCATACAAAACATCATTGTCGTTTTTTACCTTAACACTTTTCTACAATTTAATACTCAATTTTTGATATTCAGTACAGACGGTTCCGTGAACAATTGTACCTCAAAAACAGAACAATTGCATACGGAAACCGTGTTAGATCACCGACATAGTTACTACTAGACCTTGCAATTAATTATATAAAAGTAGAGCCAGTAATTCTATAAAAATAGCAGCCTGTAACCTGAATTACTGAGGGAGCGGTAGTTTAGAGTTTTTTTTTTAAATTTCGACATCAATTACTAAAAGAATTCGACTACTTCCTCATATACATTATTGCTTCAAAAGTCATCCGTAGTCAGTATTTTTTAGACAAAATAAAAAGACTCAAATAAATAGTTCACCTTTTTTTTATTAATAACGTTTATTTTGGTACACTTTCAAAAATAACACCCTATTGCAAGAACGTTCAATAATACGCTCATTAAGGAGCTACAGATTTTTTCTTACGCTATAGTATTGGCTGCAAAAATCTGACAACTCTATTCAAAATGATGTTACAAATAATATTAACCCATTTTGACAGATAATGCACCATAAACTTTAGAGTGTCCACTATTTTTTAATCCACTTTGTTTGGTTATTGAGCAAGATTCACCTAAACAGTTGGAAACCTTGTCAGAAACTAAATACCCCACAAAAATCGCCGATTTTGCCAGGTCACCGACAACACATCTACCTTTTAGTTAGTAATAAAAGTCATTTCTTTATAATTTTTCAAAATTTGAATTCTAAGAAATTTAGGATAGTTTTTGATTTTATTTTTTATTCAAAATGATGCCTCGTCCAACATAAACATGAATGATTTTATTAAGTGTTGTGGTGAAGTAACAAAGTTGCAGTATTTTACATTTTCATTTTTTTATTTTAAAATAAAAAGTATTTACAAGTGATGGGACTTTTCGTGTAAATGATTTTTGGGATTAATCCAACGGACGTGTCAGAAAAATAGTCGGCCTTGGGCACGGAAGAGACACAGTTGAATGTTTCTCCGTCAAGGATACATTTTTACGGTATTATCTGCAAGAATGGGTTAATATTATTTGACACACCCTGTATTAGAACACAATTTTAAAAAATGACGACCACTTGCATTACTATCGTGAAGTACTGGATCAATTCAAAAAATTCCGTTATTTTGAATTTTGAAATAATTCCGTCAAATTTACATTATATTCGTCCTGCCAAATATATATTATTATAAACGATATTTTTGGAGTATAAATGAGATGTTTCCTTTATAATTGTTGTTGGTATTTGTGGATTAACTATTAGTCGCTTTGTATTATTTTGAAAACGTTAAATTTAAAAATAATTTGATAGATTTTTGTTGTTATAGAATCGTAGGTACAATATTAATAGGAACGTGTTTTAAAAATAATGTAAGTACTGATATTATTTTAATGATTAATTTGCCTTGAAACAAAATACCACTTAGAATATTTAAATCTTTTCACTTTATACTGTATATTTTATTGTTGAACACTGTACTTATTTTTATACCAACAAAAATCACTGAATAAGAAAAGTCCTTTTTCTGTTTATACCTATTATGTATGCCAGTGAATTGGTAACAAGATAATGGCATATTAGACGAAATTCCCTTGATTCTGGGGAAATTGTAGTCACGTGACCGAAATACAGATCTCTGATTGAGCGGTGCGCTGGAAGTTTCCCTAGATCTGGGTTTTTTTTTTATTTCAAATATCGCGCGTGACTGACATTTCTACATATAAGGAGTCTTGTCTGATAACGTGTTCTTTTGTTACTTATTTACTTACTACACCTATGTATTTTATCTAGTATTTTTAAGATTGTGTTATTTGTTTTTTTTTTTGTAAGATATGCTCAAATATTGCCTATTTATGGTTAAAAAATTGTAGGTTATTGAATGTATATATATTATTGCTGGGGAAAAGTTACTGTATGACGAAGAATTTTGTGCGGTAACTGCATTTCTATTAAACCTAGTCTTGTTCTAGATCTAATAGAAATATGATTTTGAGGTTAGAGTTTCATTGTATATAATTTTTTTTGCATATTTATTTCATGATTATTATTCATAATTAAAAAGTATTGCACATATTTTTATTCGGTAATACCTACACTAGTTGTTGATGCGGAATCTCAATTAAAAATAAAAAGTAATTTTTAATGGCTAATATTGTTTTAGGTTCATTATGTCCTTTGGTAAAATACTGTCACTTGTTTGTAGGAAGGTTTTTAAAATTACATTTTTATTTTTAATTTTATAATTCTTTTTACCTGCAACCATATTGGTTGTTTTAAAAATTGATTAAAATAAGTACTACCCGAAATTAAAAAAAAATATATATATATTTATATATATAGTAAAAAAATTGGTTTTAAATCTTCGAAAACTTATCGTTTATAGATCTGAAAACAAAGGTAATAAATTCGTTGGAAATCCTCAAATAAATTACAGAATTATCCCTACGAAATATTTTTTTATGTTAGTTTGCATTTCATTTAGTTATATTTCAGCCAACCAGTAGTTTGTCTTTATTATAAAATTAAGAAGCTCGAAACTAAGAGATCGCCCAATGATTTTCTTCTTTCTGTTCTTTTGTTCAAACTTCGAAACATCATATCACAAATGGTCTGGTCCTTCTAAGCCATTTCATTAGGTATTGGTTTCCAGGAACTGCAGAACTTCTATATTGACGTGGTTATGCAGCTAGTTTTCATGTCCTTTCTTCTTTGACTGTAGGTACTCTCAGATCGTTGTCAACTTATCCATTTGGGTCATTCAAGCCAATATGTTTTTTTGGAGTAGTGAAGATGTACGTTTTAATACATTCGATGGGATGGTGTAGATTACGCCCTAATTTCAATCATTTAGTCACTTGCAACATTAAAGCCTTTGGTTTTCTGAAGCCTAGCTCTATTTGTTAATCAATTAGTTAACACGGCTTCCGTGAAAATATGGGCAATAAGTACTTTTAATGTTTGCTAGTTGCTTTCCACTGAGAGTAATCAGAGTAATTTCAAGATCCAGATAATATGTTTGGCATTAAAATCATCTTAGAAGATAAAATGTTCTCTATTTGCCTGTAAGGGTTCTCTGCAATTTTCTTTTTTTTTTTAATTATATCGAAAATTATTTTTGAACCTCCAAAGTTTTCACTTTAGGGTCAATTTTGTAATTTGTTTGGAGACTTCCAAAGAATTAAATTGTTATTAACATATTTGATATTTTTTTATTTCTTTTAAATCTAATTTAACCAACGTAAGTTTATGTAAAATTTTTTAAAAAAATATTGCCTACTTCATACCTCTTTATTAAAACGTAATTTTAAAAATACCCTGTAAATTAAAAATTTATTTTCTGTATAGCGCAACGAACAACTATTTTTTATAAATTGATTTTTTTTTAAATCAATCGTGGCAGTGTAAATTTATATTTTTTGTCAAATTTCTTTTGTCTATTTTTTTTGACAAAATTAATATACTGCAATAACAGTTTTTTGTATATAAACATGATATTCAATAAAATAAGATGCTCATATTTAGTTTTGTTTTATTTCGAAACTTACAGCTTACTTTGTAAGGGTTAAATAAACACGGATTGGATAATAAGTTAGGTAAATGAGCCCTCAAGTACCCCCTTAAAACAATTTAAAGTGATCAGCTCAATTGGTTTAAAAAAATCTAAGTTTGGTCCGTACTTCATTTGTGTACTACCCTGTATATTTTAGAATAATTGTAAAATATTGATGTACAAGTTTTGTATTAAAAATAAAACATTGATCAATTACTGTATATGTATAATAAGCTAACATATGTTTTAATACTAAAATAATAAACAAAAAATAATTGACCACCCACCAAGCATTGAAAGAATTTTTTCTACGCCCATGTCAGTAAACGTTGAAAATCGCACTGTCAACATCCATTGTAAATGACATTTAACAATAACATGCACGTAATGAGATCTCGTAACATACACGTGCGTTTTGATAAGAAAACTTAAATTTCTTAGTTTAATCAAATTGCAATCAAATTTTCATCTAAGTTCGACTTTATTTGGTCTATTTACATAAATTTAGTCAATTGAAAAACATAAAAACTTTTAGAATTAGCGGATACATTTTGGATTAAAAAAGTTATCCCCTAAATGTCGGCAACACATTATACAAAATATTGTATTCGAACAGTTTCTCAACTTTACCTACGATTATCTGTTAGTAGTGAAAGTAATGAAATTATGAACACTTCGCCGGAGATTTTAGAAAAAGCTCGAGCTGCGACACCATATTTTGTTATCGCTAAAATCCAAAAAAGGTACGAAATTACCTATCGAAAATTTATGGATCGACGACACAAGCAATGTCCCTTATTTAATAGAAGAAAATAAGTGGGCCTAGAAAAAGTATAGTACGTTACACGAGTTGTAAGCCCATTACGCACTCGTGAAATTTGAGTTACAACTCTTGTTACGTAATATACTATTTCTCTTATACACTTTCCCAAAAAAGGCGCTAATAAGTATCAAAGTTGTTTTTTTTTTAATGAAACGTCCTATATTTTGTTGGATTTTTGTATTCTACTACAAAATCGAGGAAAATTACTATAATAAAGATTTCCTGTAGGTACATTTTAACGTTTCTTTTTTTTATCTCCAAGTATATTTTTATTTTACAATAATATTCAGGATGGTTCCATAAATGAGCTGTACTTGTCTTTACATTAAGTCTATAACTTTGTTATTTTAAATGAAACATCCTGTATATTTTTATAATTATATAAACGTTTTTAATTAATTTCAAAATGTATCAGATGCCCATTAACCTATCTCGGGCTTTTGTCTAGCCCAAAAGTAACCAGGTTATATAAATTTACTCTGTAGGTATAGAATGTCGAATTTTTTGGTAAGTTATTGTACCTAGACATTCTTGTAAGTGTTCGAAATTTAAATGAATACATAATGATAAAATAAAGTATATTATTTTACTATAAATATCATGTATTAAATTTAGAAGTGATCACCCAAATGTATTGAGCAAACTATAGATTGACACTATACTGTGGCAGTTAAGTTTGTGGCAATTTTTTAACAGACTTCAAAAAAATGAGGTTCTCAATTCCTCGCAATATTTTTTTTTTTTTACTTTTTTTTATGTATGTTCAGCGATAATTCGTTAACACGGTGTCCGATTTCAGTGATTCTTTTTTGTTAGAAAGAGGGTACTTCAGGGGTGGTCCCATATAAATTTGGTCAAAATCTAATAATTGGTTCCATGAGAAAATCATCCTCACTCTTCATTTTTTTATGTATGTTTAGCTATAACACTTTACCACCTTGTCCGATTTATATGATTCTTTTTTTGTTAGTAAGGGGGTACCTCAGGGGTGATCCCATATAAATTTGGTTAAGATGTGGTGATAACATCTGCACGTTTTTGAAGTCGTTTTTTTTTAATTTTTAATACTTGTCCATTATATCTTGGCAGAGATCTATTCTATACTGAGGACTTAACTAATACCAATCACTGCGAGTTTCAAATTGTAAAAGCCATGTACCTAAACAATATATAAAAGAAAAGGTATATGCATGTACCTCGGGCACGGGCCATAGATAAATTAATTTATCTATGGCACGGGCATCTTTATTTTGACAAGTCGATGTTTGGTTATTCCATTCTTCTATACTTTCAAAGTTTTCACGGTCTCTTTTATAAGGACATCTGATAATCTACTGTTTTTCAATGACTTCAATATCGTACAATAATATGGCTAAAAAAATAGACTAAATTATCTCTTAAAACAGGCCAGTTGTTATTGGCTTATTTTCTTGACAAAACTGGTCAGTTATTTTATGATTTTTTAGAAGAAGACCATAGAAATTTGACATTTCATATAGAGATGGGAAAGAGTGATATTTTTATTAAACAGTTACAACTGTTACTGTTATTTTGTGTTCTGTGGTTATTTTTAAATAACAGCTTAAAATAACAGGTTCCGTTATTTTGGTTGTGTTATGGCGTTATTTTGCACCTGTTATTTTTGAACTAAATTGACAGTTGTAACTTCCGGTTGTAACCATAGAAAAATAAACGGTTGTATTCAAAATAACACTTTAAAAATAAAAGATTTTTAACAATTAGCAACATATTAAATATTAACAACACCAGAGACAACACACATCACTAATGGAGATGAAATTGAAAAGTTGGTTGAGAGTGGAAGTGTGGCAGAATTTACAAATGGTAGGTATAGTTTCGAAAGTATTCCAGATTCTGATGGTGAATATGAGATAAATTTGTCCAAATCTGTTTCAGAGTATTAACATTAACAAAATATGTCCTCAGATTAAGAAAATGATGTAGAACCATCAAGATTTTCTAATAACAATCGTTACAGTATCATAAATGCAAGTTCTAAGGTAGAGGAATCGGCCTCTGAAGATTCTGAATCTGATTGTAAAATTCCTACTTCACTGTTCGCCTGGTATAAGAAAAAATCGCAAGTGAGAACAGTGATCAAGGTCATGTAAATTTGTCCAAGTCTTGTTTTAAAAATGTGACTTGTATTAAATAGGGATAGGTGAGTGCCTTTAAGTTAGTAGAGTATGGATTACCATAATTACCAAAGTTATTTTTGTTATTTTCATGGTCTATGCAGCTAAACAATCACACATTATTAAAAGTGAGTATTCAATTTAATAATGAGCAGTACTTTAAACATCAGCTTCTAGACTGCTTTTTTATTGTTCTGACTGAAAATGTTTTACTTTATTTAGATTGCCTGTCTATATTGACTATTAGGAATTTTGTAATTTTATTTGTGCCTATGACACTATTGTTTATTACAAAAGTTAAAATCTATTTAATATCAAGTGCCACAATAATCTATTTTACTCTATAATAGGACAAATATTTTCCCACATTTTGTTCAAAAATTGTAATAATTCCCCTATACAGTAGATGGAGCGAAAGGTTTTAAACAAAATTATCATAAAATATAATTTATGAGGTCCTGGGTTATGGCCCTCGAATTATGTGGGTACAAAAATTGTATTTTTACTTTCAATTTTATAATTAATATTGCACAGGTATCACAAAAAGAATATCAGGAACAAGGTAATAAATTGAAATGAATCCAATTTTATTGTGGCTAAATTTATTATTAAATTGTACTATGATACATGTCCAACAAATTCATGAAAGCAGGATGTTCAGACTGGGGGAATCACAAGTTGTGTACTTAACTTATTTTCTTAACATTTTCGTTATGCTCATTTTGAGGATAAGTGCCCACCTACAAAAAATATTAAACCCTTCAACGCCCTGTATCTCTAAAACTATGTTTATTTGAACTTTCAATAATAGTATTATAGGTACAAATCAAATTAATTAGTTGTTTGCTTCAGATCCACTACTTTTCAATATAATTTTTAATTTAATCAAGTAGAATGTCAAAAAAAAAAACCATTATTTTTCTCTTTTTAACAATCCTGAATTGAGTGTTTTTAAACATAAAATAATTTTAGGATAACACTAGCAGATGATAATGCTCCAGAAAACACAAATGTAGCTAAAGGAATTGCTGAAGAAGCTATGAGTTTAAGGGATGTGGCAAAAACTGTGTTGTCCTTCAAAGACCAGGATAAGTAGTAAAATCAAAGTTTTAATAAAATTACTTAAATAAAAAATCATCCAGAGTGAAGATAAATCAGTTATAGTGTCACAATGGTCATCCTTATTAAACATGATAGCATTTCATTTAAAAAAGGAAGGTTTTCACTTTGATCAATTCAATAGCCAGGTCCCAGTGCTCAAAAGAATGAAAATGGTCGACAGGTTGGTAATTTAGCAAATTATTTATAAGAATAAAAAACTACTATTCAAAACAATCACTATTGTGTAGGTAGTTGCATGACTTCAATTAGTATGATTATTGTAAAAAAAGGGTCTTTAGAAATATGTGGACTGTCAAAAATTATTTATTTTTAACAACCATTCAATCCCATTACTAACTATATTGTTGGCAAATAGAAATAATCACTGGATAAGTATTTCGGTACACATGATTAAAACACCTATTGAAAAGAATGTGATAGTCAATACACTAAGAAAAAAGTTATATTAAAAAATACGTGTGGCACTCGGGGACTGCCGCGGTAAAGCTATTGCATAGCATTTTTTATCACCTTATGTAATTATAATTATTTATTTTATTTATGCAGTATTTTTTTCTTTGTTATTAATTCAAGTTACACTTTTTGAGCGTGGTGACTGATAAGAAAACATTTTTCTTTTCTTTTATTGAATAAATGAGAAGTTAATCTTGTTTAAAATATTTTTATTATCTTATAATACATGTAGGTTATTTAGGAATTTTTATCATTGAAACTATAGGTTTATGGTAACTGAAATAAGAAACATAAGTTTAAGAGTTGATATCTTCTAAATATCTGGAAAATACCGCGTCAATGGTGGTCTCATATTTTCTTGTGGATCATTATTCATTTTCAAATTCAATTTTTCAGAAATCGTGTCTAATAGAGATATAATCAGTTATGAGCAGTTAGCAGCTAGTCTACACCACTGATCTATATTATTTTACAGATCAGTGGTCTACACGCATACGTCTAATCGCACGCACACAAACACCGTGCCGAAATCTGCCGAACTGAAACGACGTTAGACGATGCACGACTTTCAACGCTGTGCCGGTCGGAGTGGGGGGTGTTAGGTTTTTTTCGTTACGGTGTTACGAAATTTCTTGATTCGGTCTCCACTCAAAGCCCGCGATAAAAGCTATGCAATAACTTAAAAATCCAGGTGTGTTAAAGTGGCAAAAAAATGAAAAACTAATTATGTTAGCAAAATATGAAAATATGAATTTTCGTAAATAGCGAGTCACTTTTTGTATTTGATACTGACGTTCCTTTATTAATTTGTAGGTTAAATAATCCAAATAACAATATGAAAATTATCTTGCTTTCCCTAACTGCTGGTGGTGTGGGATTGAATTTGGTGGGGGCCAATCATTTAATACTTCTGGATTTACATTGGAATCCACAACTAGAGAAACAGGCCCAAGATAGAATATACAGAGTTGGTCAGGAGAAACCTGTATTTGTTTATAAATTTATAATGATGGATACCATAGAAAAAAGATTTTTAGACCTCCAGGAAAAAAAAAATAGTATGTTGACTGGAAGTAGCCGCAGGTCAATAAAAATAAGTTAACTCTACAAGATTTAAAAATGTTACTTGAAATATCTGTGAAATCGTCGCTTGAGATGTAATTTTCTATTAGTTTTGAGTATTACACATTTGAAATTTTTATTGTTCAATAACGAAGACAATTCTAGCCAATTTTTGTTCTCCATACGGCTTCTTGGGATATTAGATAGTATTGCACAAGCTAGAATTAAATAGGACAAGATAGTTGTTGGTGAACTTTTAGTATACTCATCTTCATTACTTATATGTATAATATCTTCATTTTCTTTAACAGAATCATCAGTGCTAGATAAAATAATCTGTTCTATTTCTATAGGTGTATCATTCTCTTTAGTTTGTATATTCTTATACAGCCTTATTATTGAAGTATCAATGTCATTTTCAATATTTTTTCCTGCTTTGGAACTTGATGAATCTATGTTGTCATCAGAATTGCAGTTCTCACTGGCGATTTTTTCTTATAGCTCGCGAACAGTGAAGTAGGAATGTTACATTCAGAATCAGAATCTTCAGACACGTAATTTGTGATTTTTTATTTGAAAAATTTTATTTAATATCCAATAATTTATTGAAGAAATTATTTTTAAACATTAGTTTCTTTTTCAGCCATAGGGATATTTCTAAATTCATTAATTTTATTCTCTTGTTTTTCACTGGTATATAACAATCACAATACAATAATTATTTATAATAACATTTTATAAATATATCTAGTATTTGTTTGATGGAAACTCTTTTAGAGCCTGAATACGTCATTAAAGTGTGCCAAAATTTTGGTTCCATTGACAGTTAATTATAACCAAAAGCATCTCAATAGAAACATTGGCAGACTATTTCTGATGAAAATTAATTAATTCTTGCTTACCAATAAAAAAAATAGATGTAACGTTTGTGAAGGTAAGTTTTAAGTTATTTTTAAACATTATGAACCTTCCAATACATTAATAAAAAATGATATGAGTATTACTAAAAATCCACCACATTTAATGTTACAATTATCTGAAATATGGACTTATAAAAAAGTTATGTAAATCTAAGTAGCAGAGATGTCAAAATATATTGAATTACATGATAATAATACAAATTGATCAACCTCTAGTAATTTCTGTATAATCAAAATAGTGACCACTTTCCTACAGGGTGGGCTACTGGTAGATTATGCTTTATAATAAAAAATTAAATATAGTAGTATACAAGGCAAAGGTGGCTACAGAGAGAGGGCCATGGAGCATGGACTCAACAAATATTAACATATTGTTACGTTTAATTATTTTATTTTACATTTAATAAATAAAGCAACTTATTTTATAACTAATTTATTTGTAATCAAAACTCAAACGGCAAAAGAATCCATTTATATAGAAAAAATATTATGCTCCAGACAAATCCAGTCCTGTTTTGCAGACTTTGAGATGCTTCTAGACGGTTATTCCCCATGCATCCACACGTGTGCTAGAGTTTTCCAGTAACTTCTCGTTGGAGTCCATTTGTTTCAATCATCAAGCGGTAGCGGCATACAAACGGGCGGCTAGAATGGAACGAACAGATCGTAAACGAAGATCAGGCTTGAACCGGTTGAAAATGGATAGCCCGACAATATTACACATCCAGTGCAACAACGTAAGTTCAAAAATATTTCAGAAGTGATAATAATAATAAAAGCACTTTATATTGGTTATTATAACGTGTTCGTTGTGGAAAGGTAGGTATTTAGTAATCAGTATTTAACGTAGGTTCACTATTTATTGAACCTTTAGTTCCTGAAAAAGGAGGATGTAGCATAGGCAACCAGTATCACACATGTGTGTATATCATGTTGCCTATATCTTAATTATTAGTTAGTTGTATGCGAAGGACAGCCATTTACAAAACATATTTCTATTATTTTGTCGAGTCTGTGGATCTTCTTGTAGTAACATCTCTCTTATAACTGAAGATGATACACCACATATAATCATGGTTTTGGTTAAATCTTCCTGCAGGTCTCCCAGTTTACATTTAATAGCTCTTTTCTTCAGTTCTGTATTGTATTGTTCAATTGTATTTGGGCATAAAATGTTCCTGGAATTTTTGTAAAAGTTTATTTAATTTGTTTTTGTCTGCATCTGGGATCGTAAATGTCTTATATATTTTAAAAGCTTCTTCGCCTATATAATGTAGAAGTTGAGCGCATTGTACAGCTTCATCTTTTTTTTGAAGTTCGCTTGCTATCAAATAGTTTTCGAAGCGTGATCGCCATGTTTGCTAGTTATCAGCCACGTTTCCCTCCACGGATAAAGGACCAACGCCATCTTTTGTTTGTAATTTATACTATTTAATACCTTTCCCTAATTAAATTTTAATTTGACTGCGCCATATAACGTGTTCGTTGTGGAAAGGTAGGTATTTAGTAATCAGTATCTAACGTAGGTTCACTATTTATTTATTAAGTACAAGCGATACTTAACACAGCAGCGAGACCACACGACATGACCTGAACACCCAAGGACAGCCATTGCAGTATCGCTGACCTGCCCATACAACTAACTAATAATTAAGACATAGGCAACATGATATACACACATTTGTGATACTGGTTGCCTATGCTACTGTTATGAATATTACAACCAAATGGCCATCGACCTAGGTCCTTCAGCCAGTACAATTTGTATAGTGTGTATGAGGATTTACAAGCTATATGTGTAAGATAAATATCCATTAATTATTGTTCATCGGCAAATTCGTTTAAGATTTCTGTTATTGATCTCACTGGGTATTTAAACTTTGATTGACCAATTTGTCGTTGCATCAAAAAAATGTTTATTAGCATGTGATTATTTCGATTCTTCGAGAAATGTTTTGATAGTTTTCTAATTCTTTCCAGGATAGGCTGAATCTTAGTTTTTTCGTAAAGATATTCATTCGCTGGATGGTGAGTGGGGTTTTCAGGATGTCGCATCTTGGTAATGATTCTTATTGTAGAAGTTTCGGCCGCTTGAATGTTTTTTAATGCAGGTTTTCGACAGTTTAAATATTTCAGAAGTTTCAGGCAAAATCTTTTTTATATCTAGTAAAAGTTTCTGCAAATTCTTAAACTTAAAATGGAATAGATTTTATCTTGAACACGGTAAGCCTGCAAATAGACAATGAAAAATGAATCAAAAATATTTTTTGTATATGAAGGTTTCACATCGCATCCTGTCATGTCTTTCAAATGCAGAATGAGAATAGACAGAATAAATCAAAAATAACTAAACCGATGGAGAGTTTGTTTATTTATTTTTTATTTATTTTTAGTTGTTAATTAAAAAATAAAGAATATCTTATGTCTAAACATATGTATATTCCAAAACAGTAAGGTATACTTTTACTTACCTTTGTTTTACAAGCCATAATCATAGTATTTCTTCAAGCCTGTAATGTATTTGTCCGCCTTGGTGCAGACTTTATTTTTCCTCTTTAAATACATTTTACCCATACTCAAGACTTATATAGGTGTAGGTGGAGATATGTCATAAGTCTTGATATGTGTAAATGACATTTAGAGTAGAGGAAACAATAAAGTCTGCTTCAAGGCAAAATATGCATTGTTTTCAAGTACACTCTGTATACCTATTCAAATTATAACAAACGATTTTAGAGGATGGTTGATTCCTTTTTAATCTGAAAGTTTTTATATTTTCTCTTACCATATTTCTTATTAACACTAAATGTTTTATGATTTCAGAAATTGAAATTCAACCATCCAGCATTAAAATGATATGGGAATTATTTATTCAAGGTAACTGCAGCTTGGAGAAATGACACCACTTCCTAGAAATAACTTCAATTTCAATGGTAATTAAATAAAACTGACTGCTTGTTTCGCTTTTTACCGAGTTACCTCTTCATATAAATTACATTTTAATTTCGTTTTAATTGAAAATCACGCATCCAAGTTGTACTATCAAAAGCGAAACTGCAGCTTTTCTTTTTAAATTGTTTAGTCTTTAACTCTAGATTGACAGCGTTACTCAGTGGTCTTTTGTTTCCTGCAATACGTCAACTTTACGTGTTCATTTTAAAAAGAAAGAAACTCCCATTGAATCGCTTATTCACTCTGTGCGAAGTCATGGTAGGGAAAGCGCTAGCTGCGGATAATTCGTGCATTTTAGGGCGAAATTTTGTAATTTTGGTATATTAAATACATATATACATTTTTTTTTTTTTTTTTTTTTTCAAAAAGGTAATACAATAAGAAACCGGAGTTCCTGTATTGAAAATTGTAAAAATACTAGCAAAAAAAAAGTGTAAATTATAAAAATTTTCAGTAGCAAAGTGGAAATTGAATCAAAGAAATAAATGGATAGGTGTACAATAAGAAGAAAAATTACCTTTATTTTTGTAACAATAACAGTAATACTGAAAATAGTAGACATTAGAAACTTGAAAGGTTTTAAATAAACAATAAATATCATTTTACGATGTTCTTCAACATCCCTTTAATCTTAACTGTTCATCAAGAACTACATTTCTGCCTTTCATTATTGTATGTGGCTGGAATGGAATTTTGTAACTTTGATAGGAAACCACTTTTAATTATTCATTCTATGTTTTCTTTTGAACAAAAATGAAATAATCCTTCTGTTTATACATTTTAACTTCACGCTATTAAAAGTATTTTTTTTATTTTGACAGAATCATAGGTAAGGGAAAGAATAGGTTAATTCTTCAGACAACTTATTAGACTTAGGCAACTTCTTATACATTTTCCCGTAAATAATGTTGCCTGCCTTTATTTTATTATTGATTTTTATTAAATATACTTAATTTTTTTTAGTTTAAGCGATAAAAATATATAATAATAATAAATTAATATTTTACTAATCCATATACTTTTATTAGAACTAACATATATACTTTTTAATTACGAATTCCATTAAAAATTGTATTGTCAGTGTAGGCAAAAATAGTCCATTGGTACAAAAAATGAATTGGCGCTGCTGTCACGCACGGAGTGAATTTCAGAAACAACCTAAGTCACTTTTTGAGAGTTTTCAGATAAAAAAAACATTTTGAACATGTGTTATTGTGATGCTTGCCACATACTTAAAGGTTTCATGCAAATCACACATTTTATTTTCTTTTTTGCTATAAGAACTCATGAAAATACTTTCGAGTTCCTTCTTGGATAGTGTTGGTCATAGATTATTGTGAATTTCCTCCCACTTTGGAATGCTCGTTTTTTGACTGCTTATTTTTTCCAGATATAGACTTATTTAGGAACTATAAAAATAACAAAAACGTCGACACACTTTTTACGCTACTCAGTCGACAGACTAAAGAAAGCATATCTAAAACGTCGATGTGATAGAAACGGAGAGTAGGGAGATATGGAAATATACCAAGTCAAATGGGGGTACACTGACAATCTAGGGTTAAATGATGTGAGTGCATTTACAGATAATCTTGAATATTCAAAAGAATTGCTAGTGTTTTATATGGTTAATTGTTTAATTTTGCGATGTCTATGATTTTGTAATATAGGAATTACAAAATGATTCAGATTGTAAAAAGAAATTTGATGCTAGATTTATTATAAATTTATGTTTTTGTTAAATTTTTATATATAGTGAGGGGAAATATAGGTTGAAATAAATTCGATATTTTTCTGGAAAGTGGTGACGTCATTAGTACATCCGATTGTAGTTTGGTTAAAATACGATTAGAAAAATATCAAATTTATTTCAACCTATACATTCTCACTGAATATTTTTATGTGTAAATGTTAGCTAGGGGCTGGCCCCGGAGACGGGCCAGCGACGCAGAGCTCCTGGCAGTTATTATGATCTGTAATTTCAAATATGATAACTTCTTTTTATGGTACCTAAAAAATCTCATTTTCTTCTAGTTGGTAGAGGTATAGTCCTGATATCTTCTAAAGAGGGAGAAACGGAGGTACACAATGATAGAAAACAGAATGAAATCGGCATTGTCGATCGCAGTATTTAGAAATATGACGATTTTCTTCAAAACTATGAATTGAGAGTTGCTATTAATCATATTGAACACCATAGAAGACGTCAATGGTGAGTTTATTTTTAATTGCAGGTTATAGAAACTCTAAACTGATATAATTCTTAATAAACTTGTTGATTAATCTCATTCTTAAAATACTATAACTTTTTAACTCTGTAGATTTTGATTACCTATTGTTTTATGTTTTATTTCTGTTTTGATTAAATGTTTTTCACTTGTATGAAGTCGAGCTTAATTGACGCTACTTCTTAGTAAAATACAATTTAAAATCAAGCCCCTCTATATCAGTTGGTAAGTTATAAGTTCTAAGTACACAGTCGAATATTCTCTCATTAAAAAGAAAAATTAAGTTGTAAAAGTTAGTGATATAATTCAAATAGATTTTACATCCACCAAGTGTTCAGAATCTACAGTTTATAAGCGTTTTTATTGCAGAAAATGGTTTGTTTTGTGTTTTACAATACAATGGCAATAAGTAGCTCGGGAGCATTTAATAGGGGATCATTGGACAATTTGTAGCTTTATTAAAATTTTTCATAAGTAACACCATGTCCTAAACTCTTAATTGCTTAGATTACCTGTCTAAAATTCATATTTGTATGTATTTCCAAGAAATTTTAGGTTATATTAGGTTATTTCGTTCTTCTAAATTTTCAATATTTTCATTGCCTTTGTCTTGAAGAAATTTGGTATTCTTCTTTTTTATTTGTCATTTGGGTTGGCCTTCATCTTATACAATGTTAATAAATTGGCCAAATTATTGAATAAAAATAGGCTAGTGGTAATTGGCCGATTTTCTTAAAAAAGGCCAGTGATTTCACAATGGTAAAGAAGAAGAGTGACAGGTGACTGATGACAGATTATATTTGAATTTAAATTTCCATTTGTAATCTCTTGAATACAGTTTGGTTGGATAAATATTTTAGGTATAAAATATTTTCTGTCAGAAAAAATAACACTGCTAGGGCAAATGGTTTATAAAATATACATGAGGATTAAATGTGGAGTGTAGTTTCAAAACTTTGTAGTCCCTGTTAAGTGATTTCTCAGAATTGGAAAATCTAGGACTTCAAAATTACTAAAGTTTCAGATCTGCTAATACATAAGGTACTTCAAACACTATTCGAAGACAATGTTTAACTACTTATTTAAACTTTTTTGGCAGGTAGAAAAACAAATACAGTAAAAAATATGTTGTTACAGATTTTGATACAACAAAATAATGGAAAATGATAGTTTCTTTTATTAAACACAAACAAGTGACAACTTTCGCCTTATAATAAGAAATTAAATATTCTGGTAACACAAGTTACATCTTTCACCTTTTCTATTAGGCAAGGGCGGCTCCAGTGAGAGGGGGCCTTGTGGCATGGAGTTAGCAAGTTTTGAAACTGCACTCCTCAAATATTAACATATTGTTATGTCTGTTTATTTTAAACCCTTTAATTATTATAATTTATATTCACTAAATACACCAACTTATTTTATAACTAATTTATTTGTTATCAAAACTAAAATCAAATGGCAAAAGAATCCATTTATACAAACAAATATTATGTTTCAGACAAATCCAGTCCTGTTTCGTAGACTTCGAGATGTTTTTAGATGGTCCTTGCCCATGAATCCACACCTGCGCTAGATCTTTCCAGTAACTTTTCATAAGTGGTCGTTTGTCTCGATCGTCCAGCGGTAGCGGAACACAGACGGGAAACTTGAAAGGTAAACAAAGTAAGTGCCGGCACAAAAATATTACACATCCAGTGCAACAACTTATGTGCAAAAATATTTCAGAAGTTTCAAGGAAAATTTATTTTTATACCTTGTAAAAGTGTTTGCATTTTCTTAACTCAGAATGCAATATATATATTATCTTGTAGATAAGGGTGGCTATTTTTTTTTTGAGTCTGGTACGAAAATATGTTAATTTATCATGTTTTAAAACCCCTTCCAAAAGTGCAGCTCAAAAAAAAATTTTTTAGGAGTCGCTCAAGATTTTTTAAAAGGTCAAAATTCGATTTATTAAATTATGCTTTCATTGTTGTATTTATTGGATTTTTTTCTGTACCATGATAAATTCTGAATGCTACTTAAAAGCAAAAATTGAAATTAATTCTTAATATTAAGATTTAAAAGGTCACTCAAAAACATCAAAAGCAATAATGTTGTATATAATAAATTATGAGCGACCGTTCAAAATTCATATTTTGAGCTAAAAATTTGAGACATTTTTTCTTTTTTGTGGTACAAAATTCTACCATCACAAGCAAAAAAAAAATTAAAAAAATCGAATTTTGAATAATTTTGAAATTTTGAAAAAAAAAAAAAAATTGAGCTGCCCTTTGGAGGGTGGTCTTAAAAATCGATTAATTAACTTATTTTCGTACAAGACTCAAAAAAAATAGTCGTTTTTTGCGCTACCCTATTGTACAGGGTAAATGTGAAAATAGACAATGAGAAAGAAGTTGCAATAAAAAATCAACAATAATTTTTGTATCTGGAGGTTTCTGTTATCAATTCCTCAATCTAAAAAAATAATTATCTTTTGATACTATTCAGTTTC